CAGGTTTTTCTCCGAGAGAGCAGAATGTAGATTCCTTGTATTGGTTATCGTCTTTTGTTGATGTATGACTTAATGCTATCTATGGCTTCTTGTGATTTTTTCCTTTCTTCAGATGGGTTACTGTTATTACCTGGGTTTTGTTTTCTGTTGTGAAACTCAGTTATAAGGGATCTATGATAGGTTTCATCTGATACAGCACGTCAGACCAAATCTTGACACTTAACGGGATTGTCTTAACTTTGACTGGTTAATTTTTTCTTCTTTTCATGATTGCTTCTTCTCGAAAAGAGTCATTGTGGAATAACAAGGTCATGGTAAGTAGGTAAGTATACTTAAAAAAAGGAGCATAGTTATTAAATTTCTAGCCCTTTGGTCGGCTAAACATAGCTATGTAAACTGTAGCTCCAATCTCATTGCCTAACCTTAAAAAAATATGTTCATTGAATTTGTTATCAAAGTGAACAAAAATATTTCTGTGAGCAAGCCATAAAGAAATGATGGAAAAGAGTAGAGTTTGTTCCCATAAATAGTTAAATAATCAAAAGAAATCACTTTGAGTTTAAGGGGATGAATAAATAATTTGTTTTGTTATATTCCCCCAAGCCTCAGAGCCATGTTACAGTTTTGATATATCGAAAATGGCCTATTTTACAGCAGCTCTTATTTTACAGAAGCAAGATTTCCAAAGAAGGAGGAATACAAATGGTCCAAAATGTCCCATCGCGCCTGATTATTCCTTCCAAAGCTCTACGAACACCTACAGAGGTCACATGTTCGATATGGCATCCACACATTCTATCACCACCCCTTGGGAGAAATGAGGCCTTGGTAAGCAGTGTGATAGAACTAGCTTGTGGAAGCCTATCGAGTACAAAGAAAAGTTACAAGTTTAATGAGAAAGTGAAGTTGGCTTTATCCCACAGTGCTAGTGATATTAAAGGATACGAATTGGTGATCAAAGAATTGATCAATGAGAAGACCAATGATTGGAGAGACTTGGAAACGAAATGGGCTTGGAAACCGTCAGGTGGAGGATTTTTTGTTATTTATATAATGATGTTTTCGTATAGCCATTCTTTCTTTGTTTTACCTCTTTCGTAAAAAAGGCAGTAAAACAACACATCCTCAAACTATCCTGTAAGTAAAACTGAAGGGAAAGTCCCATTAAGTGCTTTAGTTGGCATTAAAAAGTGGGTATTAACAGATCTATTTTTCCTCAGGGAGTATCTTAGTTGAAGAGCTTCCTTACCCTTTTGTGTGCCTCTATGTTTAGGCTGAAAATGGTACACCTTTCTGTTAGATGTTAGATTGGATTGTTCTGCACGTCTTTCGCCCTTTGCACCAAACTACCGAAAACTTTTACAGTATAACATGAGACTTTCTTGCAAACTTTATAATTGATTAAAGTAGCTCATTCTCATTTCATTTTTTTCTTGTGCGATCGTCCAATTACCACTTCAGATGTTTCACTTCTTCGAATTAACAAATCGACAGTGGTTAGTGGTCTTTACTCTTATCAACAATGATATCGGTCATCACAGTGGTCAAAATGTTGTGCGCCTCGTGGGTCCACAACAAATTTTGACCACCGTAATAACGAATATCATTGTCGATAAGAGTACAGTCCACACTAACCACAATTTGTTTTGTAGCGCAATGTCGACGTCAAATAGAAAGATTCTTTCAGAACGTGACACGTTGCGTAACGTGTTGATGCGAGCAACGTTCGACAACGGCAAATGAGCCAATCAGATT